TCTCTCTCTTCTCAAGTCACGCCCTCCACGGAAAAGTGGGGGGTCCCAGGCTATTTCATTATGTCGAATTCTGAGTCTCAAGGCCAAACTAATAGGGAGACTCTACAGTAAATATTCTAATTTCAGCCCCATTGCACGAAAGAATCAATCGTTTTTTGATCAATAATTTCGATTTCTTACTAACGTCAAAGCATAAGTACTATGGATTTTCCATGTTGATACGCTGCTATTTTACGAAGTTGTCACGTTAGATTCACCATGCTGCCGTACTCTTTTCAGCAGTGAAATATGTTCCGAAGCTTTTTGTCCTCTTTTTCTTTCAGATGATGAATTTGGAGAGAAGACTGTGTCGATTCTCTTGGATGGAGAGGAGTCTGAGATGATTTTCATTGATCATCCTCACATCGAAATGAGTGTAAGTATATATTTTCATAACTAACCAAACCAAAATAGTATATTGTGCAGCAAGAGCGGAAAGTCATGTTTCCCCGCCCGAGGTACACATTAGTATATTTCTAACCTAGGGAGGGAAAATAAAGGATCCTCAGCCGCCAGTGCAATTACCAGCCGAGCCGACGGCGAGGTTGGTAAGCACGCCGCTGAGGGTCCTTTATTTTACTTCCCGTGGTTAAAACGCAATTTTCCGTCTCGGCGTAGGCGCAAAGTCAGAGTTCCCTCCCGCGAAGCGGGAGGGAAATGTAACTTTGTGCCCGCCGGGACGGAAACTATGTTTTAACACACTTGCAAAGAAAAGTTTGTATTTTGCTTTCTGATGATCGGGAGGAAAGTCAATACTTTATGCTCAAGGGTGGAAGGTTGTTCCCGAGAAAGGAAAGTACTGACTTTCCGCCCTTTCCGCCCGAAGGAGCAACTTTCCACCCTAGAGCGGAAAGTATTCACTTTCCACCCGCTTTTTGCATGGAGCTCAGTTTACCCTAATTTCCATATTTACCCACCCAGGTAGGAATTATAGAGGCTGCCGATGGGAACAAGCCTGTACGAGCCTAGGTTTGGCGAGGCTCAGTGACTCAGGCCTGGGACAGGCTTGATTTCATCGTTGCCTCCAGTCTGAAATGAGGGTGAATGCGCATTCTTTATTTTATAATAATTGATTGTAAATCAGCCGTTTTTGAAACCTATTATTTCGGTTTGACGTCATAAAGTGGCATAAATAATGCAGCGTAGTGTTGGATAAGGCACGCGTAACAAACCTCATTGGAAATAAATGAATTATTCTATCAAATCACGTTCGAAATACCAGTTTATAGGCCTGATTACATTAGAGATGGCTTCATTATGATAACTAAAAGGATGCCCTTTTTCGAAATCTCCAGGAGATTGCAGCGTTTTATAAAACTCCGCGATGTTAAAAATTGTGGGACAACGTCGAACCTATAATAATAATAAGTAAATTAGGAGGGAGTGAAGCCATTGCCTTCGTCGGCATAAACTTTCCACATTTATTCTGGTTTTTTTTTTAACACTTGAGGAAAGATGAAGGTAATTCTCTTCATAATTGAAAGATGAGAGTATCGCGAGACGAAAAATCTGGTGGCTCAAGCGTGAGAGAGTGTTTGGGTAATGACGGAGGTCTGGAAACTTTAAATTAAGAACCACTGGGGCGATAAATAGAGCAAGAAGAAAAAATAGCAGGAGAATTTCTGTCAGGCACGGTAAAATAGATTCATTTCATCGGTCACAAAAAAAGTGGGTGTGGTCACAAATTTTTATAAGGGGTGCATTAATTTTTTGCGTTTAATATAAAAAAAGTTACATGGAGAAATTTTTTTTACAGGTATCGGGAAAAAAAATTAACAATTCTATTGTGAAACAAAATCGTGGCATATAATATAGATTTCTTCGAAATGAAAAATTGTGAGCTGAAATCCAATTTTTATCCGCCGCTGGCGCACACGTTCTCTCTGCTTTTACATGGGGCCAAGAGCGATAAAAAAATTACAGAACTAATAAATAAAAAAAATCACTGAAAACAACTCGCGGATTTAGATAGATGCACGGAGAGAAATATTCAGTAAAAATTACGGAACTCACAATTCACTCACCGATTACGGAATCGACTCCGAAAATTTAAGTGAGGGTATCGTAATTTTTCACAGGAGATTCAGATAAAAATTACGGAACGCTCTGGAAAAATTCCGTGACAGTTCCGTAAAATTTCCTACAACCACATTTCGCTCCGAAATTACGGAAAAAATATGTAATTTTGATTGAATATTTCTCTCCGTGTGGATACGCAAAATGCGTTTTATTATACTCTGAGATACAGAGACCCCCTAAGACTTAGGGCCTAAGTGCACGCAGAAATTTACATCAATTCGATTATTGAGACATTATAGTCATAATTGTGTAAAGAGCTCTCTTACATAGCATTTTATCCAGTTCATTCCTTTCTTTAACCATTATTTGAAGAACTTCATTCGTAATCATTTATTTATTTGTTATATTTTATTAATTTCTTTATTTATTAAGTTGTTCGTTCATTATATTTCATTTTGTCCTGTTTATTTATTGATATGATACATGCGTGTAACCGCATGGGTTTCAGTTGACTATAGTCAACTGGAAAGTAGCGGGTTTCGAGCGCCTACCCACACTCAACTAAAACCCGAAATAACGGATGACGCGCATGCGCATCACCTATTAAAAGAAAATAGCAAGGAAATCTAACCTCCGAATAGTGAATACATGGAATGACTGAAAAATGAAAAGGTGATTTTCGAAGCAGATAAAATGAGCCAAAATCGTATAATTCCTGACAGTGATGAAGAGTTAGGCAGTGAGGAGGATTTATTTACTGATGAGGAGGAGTTGATTGGTGATGTGACATTTGAAGAAAATGGAAATGAAATATTCTCCAATGAAGCAACAGCAGGATCGCCAAAAACTCCTTCTTCGATCAAATACTGTAACTTAAGGGCTTTATTGAATTCTAATGATCAAAATAATGTCAAGGAAACAGAAAAATAATTTTTGCTTTTCAGAGACATGTCACAGAATTCACCGAAACTTCACTGAAATTTGGTGATTGACTTCTAGAAATTAGTGATAAGTCATTGATTAGTGATAAAGGGGGGGGTTCGCCCCCATAACCCCCCCCCCC